AGTCCTCCTAAATCCAGGCGTCAGCTGCAAGGAGAATTAGTTCATCTAAGACAACTTTCTTCATCACAATGACGTCGCCCTGGCAGGCTGTTGGACAACTCCTTCCCTTCTGCCCACGGAGCTGGTCTCCGGTGTCCAGCCTGACCTATGGACTGGTCAGTGAGAGCATCTTGCTGGCTGCTGCAAAAACCTTCATACGCCATGGGCAATCCTCTCCTGAGCATATCCACAGCAAAGGGAACGAGAAGCCAAGGCAACCCAAGATGGACTGAATCAGTGTCAGCTTCCTTGAGAAATACAATTGTTCTTCATGATGAAAGATTCGCCTTACCTGGATATTCTTCGACTTAAAAAAATAAAAGGAAAGAGGGAAGAAGGCAAGCAAAGCAAGCAATTCGGGTATTTAAAAATTCTGTTCTGATTAGCAATTTGTTTAATAATTCCACCCAATGCCTTGAAATAACAGAGGGTAACTGGGAGCATCTCTCAAGAGGACGGGAGGCATTGAGGGAAGAACATGCTGATGAGGAGAATTTCAAGCATAAAGTCGCTAGAACTTTCCATTCTTATTCATTCTCTCAATGGACATTGATTGAGGGTCAGATATGTGAAGAGCCGAGGGGCTTTGGTGGGGGTTGGGGATAAGACTGAAAGGAGCGGCCCCCGCGCCCCCACCTGGGGAGGACAGCACGCCAACAGACCATGACCACAATGAACACAGTGCTGGTGCCACAGGGCTCTCCACAAGGGGCTGCGCCAAGAGGAGCCACCAATGTCCGAGGCCCATAGGCAAGGAGATGGCGTGAGAACATCTGCGCTCCTTCCTAAGGACCCTGGAGAGACACCCACGGGGGAGGAGGTGACACGTGGGAGGAGGTGACATCCACCCTCCTTCCTAAGGACAGTGGAGAGATACCCCCAGCATTTGATGTAATGAAACTCAGGAGGATTCGGGACAATCTTTGCTAAAGGTGGGTCAACAGCATGAATGCCTGTGACACTGTCACTTCTCTGTCGCTCACACAAGCCCTCATCAGAGTACAAAAATCAAAAGGATTTTCTTTAGGAAATTATTGCAGCCTCTTTTATGTTCTATAGTAAACAGAAAACTGAAGTACTTAAAATAACACTCAGGGGTAAGTTGAGGACTATAAGACACACTGAAAACGGCCAATTAACTGCATTTAAAAAAATGTGGTCCCACACTTTTTTTTCCTGTCAGTTTTTAACTCACGAGAGTTTTTAAAAGGGAAATCAAATCCATGTAGTTCTGACTCATTTGCACTCATTACTTATCAGTATATTTTTCAAACAAATCAAGGGTCCAAGACGTGTTTTTTTGTGAGAGACGCACACTAGTTGACAGCTCTGAGTCACACAGACCTAAGTGTGACCAGTTGTGCTGAGCCTGGAGTGCCCGGGACACCCCAGAGTGCTATGAATCCTTTTGCCATGACTTGGTTTTCTCCTAGAATAAGCAGCAAGGCTCTCACACATCTACTTAAAAACCCCAATAAAAGGAAATTTCATCTCTACCAGTCTAGTTTCCTCACACCTACTATTATTTTTGGCATTCTGATCTAACACTGGGGGGGGGAATTCTTAGTTATCAGTTTTCAGAAGGAAATGGTTCACAAAAGTTTCGCTGACTGAGAAGACACAGCTAAGGATAAGAGACACTCCCAAGGGTCTGTGTTTAGTAGACAGCAACCTACCAGTAATGTGTGTATCACAAATGAATCGGTGGGAAAAATGGGAATCTCGGGTGAGTTAAAGGGCAAAGCAGCTCCGGTTCTCACAGGCAGACCAACAGGAGTCAGCTAAAAGCCCTGGCGCTAGGGGCAATTTGGCTTTGACATCACCATCCTATGAGCTATAAAAAGATGTGGAAAAGCAAATGAGCAAAACCAGAGAATACACAAACAAGCAAAACGCCGAATTCTTCCACAGAGAACCATGAGTTGATGGGGAGAACATCCCCAAGGCCGTCACATTCCTGAGCACTTAATTCCCTAAGAGTTTGAATACAGACATGTCTGATGACTAGGAAGAACACAACAGATCCGGTTAACGTCCATTCCAACTTCAGCACTAAGTGGCCGGCACCCGGCAGCCCACCAGGCTCCAGCCTAAGGGCAGAGCTCAGCTTGACAAAGAAAACTACCCTGGGCAGAAGGGAAATCTGGAAATCTGACCAGGAAGAAGCTCCACCTGCTGTTACTGGGAGCTTTCAAGTCCACCAGCCGCACGTCCTGCAGGCGTCGGGTGGGTATTCCGAGACCCAGACTCCTCGCTTCCGTGTGACGCCCGCCAAAGGCTGAGCACATGACCTCCGCTTCCCCTGCCCTCCGACTCTCCCACCAGGAGCTTCACAGCCCAGTCTAGCTCCCTGGCATGCATCACCCAGAGATGTCAGCATGGTTGCCATGCTGCCATATTCTTCTTGTCACCAGGTGCTGAAGCCCGAAAGGTCCATCAGGAAAGAACAGCACCCCTTGAGTGGGCAAGAGTTACAGTTATGATACCAGGAGTCTGACACTTATAATGACAAAAGGGTTTCTGAATTAACACACAGACAATGGAACACATCAACAGCCATGAGGAATAGCAGGAATTGCTGCCTGCCTTGCTAAAACGAAAACCCAGCAGACAGACCGCCCGTCTCAGTTGCACGGCGGCTGTCACACACGCAGCCTACTGTCACACCTGCTGCCAACTGCGGCGCCCAGGTGAGATGCCTCTATATGCTCAGGCCCGGAGTTCCAGTCCGACCCAGCCTGCTCCTCCTGCATCTTCCTGGAAAAGAGTGGACCTCCACCCAGAGGCTCTCATCACCCTCCAGTCTCCCACTGTCGTGTCTCAGTTGGCCACCGAGGCCCACTAGCTTGTCACCGCGTTTCTGCCACCTGCCCTCCATCAGTACCTCGGCTGTCTTAGTTCAGGACCTCTGCCTCTCTCGCCCAGACACTGGACTGGAACACCCGCTGACCCACCTCCTCACTTGTCACTGGTCCCTCCCATATTTCCCTTCGACTCGGCCTCCCGACCTAGCTTCCAAGGTATAAGCCTCGTAAACCATGACCTTACATTCATATCTGCAGCAAACATGGGTGAATACTGTTGTCATCTTGGAGTATAAAAAGTATTCTAAGCACGACATAAAACCTAGAAGGCATAAATATGGCTGCTTAAAAACATCTTCTGTAAGATAGAGAGCACTATAATCAGAGATTCAAAATAACTGGAGAAAGTCTCTGGGGTGTATATGGTAAGGGGCATGGTGGTTTACTCGACCTATATAGAGTTCTTACAACTTACTAAGAAAGACCTATCTGTAAGTCTGAAATAACGTCTTTAGTCCATCTCTTGGCCACACCAGGAAACAAAACACTAATGCAAATAATTATAAAGCTGCAGAGAAGGCATAAAATGTCCTGTCAAGATGTGTGGGAAAATGGGTTAGATATCACCCTTACCAAGCCTGCTTCAAATGTCCTGCCTCAATTCAATCATAGTACACATCAACACTGGGACACTTTTAAGTACTTGAGAGATGCCTCTCGTCGCTCTGTGGAACATGTTGGAACATGTTTGCACAGAACAAATCATTCCCGGTAAAGCTGGAAGGGCCCCTTTGCCTGACAATGGATGTTTTAGCTTTCAGCCAGCAGGTTAAAGCCTTCTGGAGCGTTTCTTTCTTTCTTTCTTTCTTTCTTTCTTTTTGAGTTGGAGTTCTCACCTTGTTGCCCAGGCTGGAGTGCAGTGGCACGCTCACGGCTACCGCATCCTCGACGGGCTGGGCTTGGGTGATCCTTCCGCCTCAGTCTTCCAAGTAGCTGGAACTACAGGCATGCACCACCTTGCCCGGCTAATTTTTTGATTTATTATAGAGGTGAGGTCACATCTTGTTAGAAAAGCAAGTAATTCAAGGCACTGATACAGTTTTTCACGTGGATGCGGAACCCAGATCTGTTGCCTATCAGACTACAAAGGAACCCAAGGCACAGCTCTCAGGGACCCGCGTCCATTGGCCAAAAACAGAGTTTAAACTCCAAGCTGACTTACAGCTGAAATCCAACCACGAGGAAGTCTGAGGGAAACAGAGGGGTTAAACCCAACCAAACAGTACTGGACATTCGAAGATTTAAGCAACTGTGTTCCAGTCTTTAAGCTGCAGGGCTGCGTGGAGGATGCCACACGCCAAAACACCACCGTCCAAAGATAGATGGCTAGTGCCCGAGTATATAACTTGCGGCTATTTCGAGCGGTCTGTACTTCGTAAGCACTTTCAATGTTAAGAATTAGGGCACAGACACGAATTCCATTTTCTAAACAGCCTTTTAAAAAGCCACTTGGGTTTCTGCATTTCTGGCTTGTGCCGTGAATTTGCAGAAATTCAAATCTTGACCAACGGTTTCTCAAAACCCATTGATTCTATCATTTGCCTCTGATAAAATTAATAAGATAGTCTGTCTCCCAATAACTCTTGGCTTACAAGGCCACTGTTCATTATTCCGGGCTGACACGGGCTCAGTGGCTTCTGGAAACGAGCATCGCCCACAGAGATACAGAACACAATCATTTCAGTGGCTTGCCCATCGGCAAGGGGCAGCTAGTCCAGAACTCCGCGTGTGCGCCACACCTGCCAGGAGAGAACCAAGCCCTACCACAGGCCTCCTCCTTTCCCAGAGAAAAAGAGCTCTGACTTACTTGAAGCAGTGAGTGCCAGCACACGCTGGCATGCCGCTGTCCACTGGTGTTACAGAGACAGACAACTGAGCGGCAGAAGGACAGAATACACATGACTGAAACAACATGCACCAACCTTGGCTTCGACTCTGGCAGACCTAGGAGGCCTCATCTGAGGCCCACAGGCTGTGTGCTAAATCAGCGAGCCAAAATCACACAGCGCAAAGCCCACGTGAAACCGACAGGCGTCTTCCCTCGGGTCCCGGTTTTAAACACACCCACTCTGGGAGAAGTAAGTTCGTGAGACTCACTCTGGGAAGCGTAATGTCCCTCCGCAGCTTTGTCCTCGGACATGTCGTAGTCCCTGCCGGAGAGCTGCCTGTTGGCGGTCTCCAGTCGATCTAGGAGTGAAAGGGAAAGGATGAGGAGGCAGCACGCGGGGACGGAAGCCACCACACAGCTGGCCAGCAGGGAGAGACGCTCGGCAGGAGGCCCGCCCTGAGCAGCCCGGGGAGGCACAGGAGTGACATCCCAAGACACCAAAGGGAACGCCGTCAGGTGGCACACCGGGTCCTCGTGCGGTCGAGTGCCAAGGACATCACCAGAGACAAACGCCGCCAACAGGTGTGGAGAAAAACCACCTCTCAGCCTCTGAGGCCGACAACCCTCGGCTTGGAAGTCCTCGCAAAGAGCGTCTGCCTTCTGGGCCTCGAGCCCAGGCCTCATCTAATCTTGACCATCAGCCCTACATTTTAGCTAATGACAGTTACCAAAAGACCAAAAGTAAATAACAAATACATACTAAAAAAAAAAGTCAGAATGACTTAATGGATGAAACTTGTACACAGGAAGTTCTATGTTTGCTCGAATCACTCAGGAAATTTTCATTTATTCAACTAAATAATCCAGCTCAACAAGTATTTGTTGGTCATACATGACGCCCAACACAAGTGGGCTGGTATGGCATGAAAGGTGGGATCTAGGTTCTGCGGATGACTAGGACGTCAAGGGTGCTGACATATGAGCAAATGGAAGTGGCCTGGCTGCAGGTGAAGTCACACTTGTGGGCTCAATCGCCTTGCACACTGGAGGCTGCCACGATGCAGCCGCACAATCGCAGGGGCGTTTCCCCTCGCAGGGACACACATCTACCTCAGTTTCCTATGCTATGTCCAGCAGGAAGGGCCGCCCTTCAGAGCGCTGCCAATGACTCGGGCTGATGTGGAAAGGGCTGGGAATCCATGCTGCTCTTTTCGACGTTCTGAATCTCACAGTTGTCACCTATGAGACTGCTGAGTGCTTTTAGAGCACGGAACTGGACACGGATACCCTCCTCTCACAGACTCATGCACACAGGCTGTCACCGCTACGACCCATAACACACAAGGCAGGAAAAAACAATTCTGTCCCTAGAGCACCTCCCCCCTGCCCCGATGGCCGGAATATACTCGACTGTCCAACACAGGCACAAGAGCACTGTGGCCAAGCTGTCTGGCCCCAGTTAGGCTGCTGGCTGCACAGGCAGCCTGGGGAGAGAGGACAGGAGCAGAGCTGACGTGCCTCGGAGGTCTCTGTTGAAGTCGTGCAGTCTTCTGATCTCTCCCTCCAGCTTGCTCCTCATGGCCTTGTCCAGCGACTCTCGCTTGGTGGTGGACTTGACCAGACTTTCATAGGCTTCCGAAATCCTCTGAAGTTCCTTTTCAAACTAAAAGAAAAAACTGGCATTAAAGCGGGACTTTCGAGTCATGCTGGCATCTCGGGGAGGCTGACTCTTGGGCACCCCCACGCGGAGGCTGTGTCTTCCTTCCACGCAGCCTCTCCACCTCCAGTTTCATGCCCATCAAATCGTGTCATCGATTTCCCTCCCCTCCGCCCTCCAAGGGCAACGTTAGGACCCTGTAAATTGCAGGCTCGCAAGTCAGGCCAGACCACTGGCTGTCACCTCATGAAAGTCCCTCTGGACTGTATGAGGAAAGTGTGAATTAAGCAGTACTTAGAACTCTTATATTGTGCACAGCAATTTATAGCTATTCTTATCAATCCCAGTTAACATTAGGGAAATACTAAAGTTCAAAAAACTAAAGGTCTACAACTGGAACCCAAATTTCCATATTCCAAGTATAGTGCTCTTTCCAGAGACCCTGCTACTTGACCCTAAAGGAACATAAAATCCATTCATTACTTAGTGTTTTTACCCCTTTGTCTATGAAATTATCTATACAAAGGATTAATGAACTTGAACCTAACTATAAACAGACGTATCATAGAAGACATCTTTATAGGCTTGGGAGCAAAACCTTTTGTTGTTGTTGTTTCAATAAACTGAAAACTGTAACTGGAGAAGCCTTGACTCTATGACCCATATAAATTGATAACAAGCAGCTCTGCCTGTCCTAACAGGAGTCTGACACAATCATGTGCTCTTGAAGTAGAGACTTATAAGCTCCACTGTATTGTTGTGTAATGTAAACGCAGGCCAGAAGGGGAGGACTGGGTGAGAGCATCTGCAGACACGGACGCTTGCTGAGCGGATGCTGAAGTCAGAACGGAGGCAAAGCAGATGGGCTGGAAGCGCTGACGTCCCTCACGGCACCCAGGGGCCAGACCGCGTGTTCAGTCCCCCCACAAGAGAACAGCATCGCCAGGGGCCAGCCACCCTCTTTCCTGAGTCCCAGTTGCCCAGATCCGAGGGTCCCTGCTGAGACTCCTGTCAACGATACAAGTTCTCATTGCTCACGTCCAGTGTAGGCAAGGACACACAAATGAGGAAGTCAGCTCCTGACTTAGCTTAGAAGTTAAGCGCCTGTTGGCCTGTGCCTGGACCCAGCCAGCTCTCCATTGCAATGTGAGAGGGTGTGGTGGTGAAATGCCATGGCAGCCTAGAGATAAAGTAACTCATTTTGTAGGGCGAAAAGAAGTCTCGTTAAAAACATTTCAGAGAAAATGCAGCTGAAAATGAATCAAAGGATAAACAGGCGTTTGCCAGGCAGGAAAGAGAAGGTCACAGGGCTTTGGCAGCCCGGGCAGAAGACAGGGCCTGCGCCAAGACCACACAGCATGAGAGTGAGGGCCTGCCTTCCACATGACAGGGAGCCCGGGGCAGGGAAGGGAGCGGGGCAGATCCAGGACCAAAGGGGAGGACTTGAAGTCACGAGCAAGGAAGGGCTCCGGGGTGAGAGGCACTGGGGAGGGGAGGGTCCCAAGCAGAGGCGATGCATAGACTCATCTGTGTTTTCACAGAGGTAAAACCAGAGGATGGGGTGGGAGTAAGATGCCCAGGTAAGAAGCTGATGTACACAGCTCGGTGACTAAAAGGACAAATTCCCAAGACACCACAGAGTCGAACCAACAGGTCATGGTGATGGGGGCTGGACAGCAGGGGAGAAAGAAGCAAAGACAGCAGAGTCATTCCCAGCTCCGAAGATGAGGCCACGAGCTTCCGCAAGATAAGCACCGCAAGGGAAGCAAGTTTACCCCAGAAAGTCAGCCATCTGGAGCTGGAGACACGCCATTTGGGGAGCCTGCAGCATGCGGGGCAAAGACGTCCAGCAGCAGGTGGAGACGAGCTCCGAAGGCAGAGAGCCTCCACAGTGTCGCCACCGCACAGCCGACAGACGAAATGGTCAAGCGGAGGCCGCGGTGGGGGATCAGAGGCGACCGGGGCCCCGAGGGGAGGCATCCCTGCTGAGGAAAGGGCAGACCCGAGGGCCAGGGAGAAAGGCTGACGCCACAGAGCCGCGGCGCCAGAAGGGTGCAGGAAAGATACCGTGTTGGGTCAGTGTCCCGGAGGCCATGGGAACCAAGACCTGTCTGAGAGGAGGCCGGCGAGGAGGACGGAGAGTGCAGGGCCTCCGTCTCGCGCAGCCACCGGGCCTAACTGAGAACACCGGGGACCCTTTGTTATTCTCCCAAATGCCTCCTCATGCCAGAGTCGGCTCCTCCAAGGGCCCTCATTGCCACAAAACCTTCCTGTTTCTCCCAAAGACATTACACGTCATCAGTCATGCAGCACGGAGAAGAGCATGTCCTAAACCCTGCTCAGAATTTTACTGCAGATGATGTTCTTTCCTTTTAATTCTGTTTTCGAAAGAGACGGCTTCAAAACACGCCGCCATTTCTGGACTAACTTTATCTACAGAAGGTGACCTTGTCTTCAGGCAGGTGGGCATGACACAGGGACGGTCCCCGTCAAGACCGCCGGGCATCACCTAGTCACTAAGGAGGCCGAGCGTGCCCCATGCCCCAAAGGCGTCTCTTGGACAGCAGTGCTCAGCCTGCAAGCCCAGGACCACCAGTAATCCCTCCCCAGCTTCACCCACAGGCACCCTCCCTTGACCTGATTTAACAGCATTTTCGTCCATTATACTTACTCACTGGGATTCTGGTGTGCACAAGCACAGTGTCTCTGGTTTGACTGTTAACTCCTTGAGGGCGGAACGGCACTTTCCGCCCTAGAACTGTGCCCTGCTCACGGCCAATTCTGACGGATCGATTAATCTCTGTGTGTGTAACTCCTAAGGACTTGGACCCTGATCATGGATCCTCTCCCTTCACTAAAGAATTTCCCTCTGCGCGCTGTGAAAGGGGCTTTGGCATCCTGCTCCGTGTCGTTTCCCACCTCAAGTACCACACTCCCACACTGGCATGTGGCCATGAAGGGACCCAGAGAGGAGGGCTGGGGCCTTGGTTCAGAACAAGGCCTCTACCACGAGAAACAACAGCTCAACGGTAGAGAAGGATGAATCGCCTGCAGTGCTTGCTGTGGATGTGGCTTGTCCCTCCCAGCCTCATGCTGAAGTCTGATCCCCGCGTGGTGGTGTAGGGTGGTGGGGCCTGGCGGGGCAGACCCGTGATGCCCTGGTGCCCTTCTCGTGGTAGGGAGCTTCCGCTCCCCAAGGTAGATTAGCTCTCTGGGAAGGGATCAGTCCCCTTGAGAGTGGGCTCCCGAAAAGTGGAACACGCCCCTTGGGTTTTGCCTCTTCACATGTGTCTGCTTCCCCTTTGACTTTCTGCCATGCAGTGACGCAGCAAAAAATCCCTCCCCAGCAGCTGAGCAGATGCTGGTATCACACTTCTTGAACTTCCCTGCCTGCAGAACCGAGAGCTGAACAAACCACTTTTCTTCACGAATTATCCACAAAATGGACCAAGATAGCATGGTGACAGAGGACAGAGCCATGATTACGGGCAGGAAGTTAAAGAGACATGGGTTCCCCAAAGTGTGGTCTGCCCAGTAGTGAGCTTCTCCTGCCTGGAAGCATTTAAGCAAAAAGCGAGTTACTGCCTTTCGGAAATGAAGCAAGGACTCTTAGGGGGTGGGAAGTCGGGCTAGACTCCTTCCACTAACTAAGTCTGAAGCTCTTCTCTTTTGGATGGTCCTCCCCGCAGAGTGAGAAACACACCGTCTCCGTATTCTCCGTGAACAGAGAACATCTCAAGCCCCCCTGACATCTGCTAACAATGAAGGGAAGGTGGGACAGGCCGGCTTGGCTGAGTATGGGGCTCGAAGGGCGCCTGGGACTTGCCTTCACGGCTCTTGCCCTTCCTTCCAGCCCGGGTGTTGGGGGCTCTTCGGCCAGGCCGCAGAACTCCTGCAGTCACAGAGACGCACTCCGTGTCCCTGATGCAGGACTACAAGCAGAGCAGAAGGCGCAACTTCTGCCGCTGCCGTGAAGCAGATGGGCAGGGAAGGGCCTGAGAACACCTCAGCTGTTCCAAGCTCCAGGCACTGGCCTTTTCACCAAGCACCTTCGTGTGCATGTGCAGGGACCTACAGGACCAGAGAAAGACCTGCCATCCAAGCCACGGGCTGCCCCATCAATGCCACCTCCATCTGGCTCACAGAAGTGGGTCTTCCCTGAAGCATTCCGGGGTAACTGTGAATGCCCGTCAATGCCCGGTGGCTTCTGAAGCCAAGCCATCCAAGAACCCACAGTCTCATTCTAGTGGAAACTCCAAATATGAATTAGGTGTCAGGGAAACTGAGAGGAAGAAGCAGCAAAATGAGTAGCCAAAAGCAAAGGCTGAAAAACGGCAGGATCTTCTGGGGTCCTCGGCCATCATCCCAGCATTGACCGTGACCAGCCCCCGTGCGTCTTTGGAAATGGTCTTCCTATCTGGGCAGGGACTTGGCAGCCCCTGAGCTTAACCGTCCTTTTCTGCTGTGTTCCTGGCAAGCTTGCACAGGCTAAGCTCGTACTCAAACAGTCATCCGTTTTGGTTCTGCCGGTACAACAGACCTCTGGGGCAGCCGATGTGCTCCCAGCGCCAGGAGGCCTTGGGGGGAGGGCACTTGGTGCAGCATGGCCACATCCCACAACAGAGCGGCAGGCCACCAGAGCAGGGGTTGCGGCCAGGCCAGGGGAGCTGGCCGCTGTCACCCGCTCTCCAGACCGAAGGCAATGAGCTGCTGAGAACACTGAGCAGAGGGGCTGGCCTGGGGGAAGGGCTGGGACTAGGGCAGCCTTGGGAACACAGGGTGTGAACCGTTACACCATGAAGCCATGCAGCTCTTCCAAAGTCTCGAGGTCCTGGTTGCTGAGAACGGCGTCAGAGCTAGCGATGAGCACGGTAAGTCCAGCAGAACTGGAGTTTCACATTGATGATCCACTGTGATACATGACAGAGCAAGGAAGTGCAGTGCAGTAAGCCCTCACACACTGCAACTTCCAGCCAAACGACGTGCAGTAGGACCTCCAATAATGCTGTTTCTTTTCATGTCTTTCATTACAATGTTGAAAGGAAAAAAACATTTTTTTAACAAGTGATTCTGCTTAAATTCACAATTTCCAAGAGCTTATCCGTGGTGCCAGTTGAGGATTTATTGTATTTGTGAAGCACCTGTAATATGCAAGGGACTGGAGGAATTAGGGGTTCCACATGGCAAACAGCTTTTTATTTGTTTCATTTTTCACACGTCACCAAAATTCCTTCAGCTACAAATTATAAGAATCATCCTTTGTGCGGGGAAATCGAGTCACTGGGAGAATCAGTCAGTGGTTTTGCTTTACAAAATGGAAAAGTGCACCAGAATCAAGAAGAGGTGCACTATCGGCCAATCAAAAGTATACGTCAATGACAAGCCGGTGAAGAACAAGGGAAGACCTCCCAATCCCTGCACCATCCACACAAGTCTTCCAAAACACCCATTGAAAAGGTCCCGCCCCCGCCCCCAGCCCAGCCCAGCCGCCGGACCGGTCTGCCACGGATGGTCTGCCACAGAACCTCCTTAGGGGAGAAGAAAGAAACCTTGTTTCCCAAGAAGTGCTGAGTTGGCTCTTGCGATGTGCAGACCATACCAAGACAGCAGCTGCCCGAGGTGTCGGGGCAAGCTCGGGCCTGCACGGACCTTTGGGCCAAGGGCTGGAGACCACACGCTGTTTCCCAGCTTCTAAGGGGGGGAGGAGCACTCTCCGGCACCCCCTTCTGTTGCTGGCGCTCATCTCTCCCTCCCACGGAAGCAGCCGAGATCCCTGAGCTACGCCCAGTCTGACTCCTGGGAGCCCCGACCCAATGCAGGCTCTGCACAGACCACCCTCAGCAGACGCTGCCTGCGAGCATCCGCTCCCTGCTTTCACCGCCAGCCCCCAGGAAGCGAGAGGAGGCCACTCCTCTGAAACCCTGGCCAGCAAACAACCCCTCCCCGTGAAATCAGGACCAAACAGAGAGCATGAAAGGAGCCAGCCAGGAACACTAACGGCCACACGCAGCCAAAGGGACAGGGTTCTCGCGGTCGGGTAGGGTTTGTATTTCTGCCTTTCTCTTGACAGAGCCCCTTATTGCCAAGGACAGGGCCAGGCCCTTAGCCTCGTAGAAGGCCACAGCAGCCCAGAAAGGAAACTCAAGTGTCTGGGGGTTGTCCTGCCCCAAGTCACGCGGTGGCCTGGCCTCCTCTGGCATCCCACTCGCAGCACACCAGTGGCTGGCGTGCGGGCCATCGTGACATCATTGCCCAGCAACAGCTGATGCTTGCCGATGTCTTGCTCACTTGGCTTTTAGCACAGCTCTCTAAGAATGCAGGCTGCCCACATGCCGATACTCCCGCGATAACTACACACACTAGAATCACTCATATCCCCACCGTAAGTCACGGGCATACGGAAAGCCCACACTGACCAGGACGCCCGGCCCTCTCGCTGGCCCTCTCGCGATGTGCAGATACCAGCCGCTAATGAATACAGGGCAGCACACAGTGCCTGCCTGAGACCCCCAGACTTCAAAGACGAGCCCTAATTCACTCCTCTGCGTTGCTTGCTGTGTCCCTCCCACACCTGTCCACCTGGCGCTCCCACTTAGCCTCTGAGTCTCCAGTCAGGGGCCACCTCTGTGCTCCCAGGCAACACTGTCACCGCTACTGCAGGTGCTGGCTAGGCAACTCTCCCTCCAAGGCCGCCCTGGTCCCGTTGGCGTCTGTCTCCCT